GGGTAAAGCTAGAATATTTCTACGGCTAGAGAAGAAAAGAGTAGACATGAAAGCCAAAGTTGAGCCTTGTGGACCTCTCTCCTGTCCTTATGGACCAGGTCTGCTTCTACCATCCATTCAGGGACATAAGAGTTCAGAGACAGTGCCAGGGTCATGCTTCCCACATGTTCTCTTTGGTGTCTCTTTTGTGTCTCTTTTGTTCTGGGAATCGCACAAGAAAGTTAACTTTGTCTTTTAGATACCCCTGAGAAAGGGTAATTTTGCTTCAAATTCTCTTTCACCATTAGAGATAGAACAGCACTTTGGTCCTAAATAACCCCACCTACAACAAAATCACATCCTTGACAATCACCTGTGAGACCACTGATGTGAATAGAAAGAGCCTCTTAATGCAATTAAAACTAAGTTATAACCTTAACCCTAAATGCCTGCGCAGAAAGCTGCCGAACTTTACCAGGGTACCCAAAGCCCTGATTTCAGCAACAGCTGTACCAGCATTCCAAACTGTTAATTTCTGCCCTCAGTTAGTTCACCAAGAGTCCAGTTAGCCTTGCACTGTAGTCAGTATTACCTTTTTCTAGGCCTAGAGTCACCGAAATGCAGCTAAAATTTAGGATTTGCCACGCACGAGGACCAGCTCTCTGTTGGAGATAGAATGTCTCCAGCTGCCACTGCTCTTGGGTTGCATGTAACTGAAACAACAAACCCAGTTTAGCCTAAAGGCATGAAGTCCCGCCCTCAAATAAACTACCCAAAAGTAGAGCAGTATTAAAAGTATAGTAGTTTTGTGAACTACACAAAATAAATACAAAACACTGCTCTATGCTAAACGCTGTGACAGAACCCTAAATCAAAGAGGAAGCTCTGCCTAGATCGTCCCTTTAATGAGTTCCTAGAAGAAAGGACCAAGGTTTTTAGATTAAAAAAGATTATACCAGAGTAACACACCTAGTTTTAAGTAGAGAAAATTTCTACTGAGTATGCCACAACAGAACATTAAAAAAACCCCCAACACCACAAAACTATACAATTTTCCTCATTTCCGATGTGTTACTAAAGCTGGAAACTACCCCCAGTCTTGGTTTTAGGTAACTGAATGACTTCCTGGGTTGCAGTAAACTTTACCCAGTGTCTGAGAGACTCTTCTATCACCTTTGAAGCCTGGCCCTCTGCATTTACAACCATCTTCACTCCCTGCTTGTCTCCAGGCTGCCATGCATACCCTGGGACCCAAACTTCTGCCTCCAATACCCTCTTGCCCCTTAGACAAAACTCTGCCCTTCAGGAAAAGGCTAATTCTTCCTCCATTTGAGAGTCCTAGCACTCACCTCATGTAATTTAAAGAAATAGCGTGTAACATTGGGAACAATCAAATCAGGCATGCTCTTTACACTGCCAAGGCAAGGGTAAAGACGTAGGAGAGACTTGCCCATTAAAACTGGAATGCTAATGTCAGAAAACCCCAACCAAACCAACCAAAAAACAAACAAACAAAAAAGGCAAATGGTTTGATGGAAATGGGACTTCATAGGCTAAAATTTAAATATATAACGTAAGCCTAGGAGACTGCACTTTTGGTTTGTTCTGATGTTGGATTCAGGAGAACAGCACTGAACTTGAACTTTCTTAAATTTCACTTGAACAGCTGAAGGCAGAAATAAAACCTAACCTAACTCTTCATAATGGATACTATAAACAAGGATATAGAAGTCAGAAGGAGTTGCTCTGGAATTAAAATACTAGTAACAGGAAATACTAATCTCAAAGAAAAGGATTCTCCTTCTGTGTCTGAGACTCCTACATGACATAACTCCGAGAAAGACAATAAGGAGATGCAAGCATGATACTTCTACATAACCTCAGCATGAGTACCGGTGTCAGTGATGAACAGACCAGGCAGGCCTGAACGAGTCACCTGTCTCTTAACCTGAAGGATTCTCAAAATTCCTAGAGAAACAGCAGTACAGTTGCCAGTTTCCAGACAAGTACTGAAAACTGTCATATAGGAAAGGGTAAATAATGACTTATTTTTTTGCTGAGAGCAAATGAAAATTGTTGTGGTAAGAAAAAGGAATGTTATTTCTACTGGTTAATTTAGCTGTCTGAGTTAAGACTGTTTTTCACATACTATGACTTTGATAAATGGATACTGTGGACCCAGAACTATAAAATGGTTTGGTAAAGACAGAAAAAAAAGGCTCGTCCTTTCTGAAGAAAGAGGTTGGAGCTTGTGTTCCAATTCTGCCCAGTGCTTCAATGAAAAGGGAAGGAAATAGTTTGAGCAAACCAGAGCTGGAAACTCCCATATCCTCTTAACAAAGACTCCCTGCCGTGGCTTATGACGCCAAAATCACTGCATATTTTTACTGAAGTTAATCATAGATGTTTTTAAAGCAGTTTTGAAAATGTGAAAGTTTAGACTATTCTGACTGGCCTAAATGTATTATCCTAAGCACACCCAGATAACAGTATCAATGAAACTATTTATAGTCAAATTATGTGATAGATCCACTTTTTGTTGAAATATATGGATTTTGAAAATCAGCATTTTGAACAAAATAGTTTGGTTTTACACATTGAATAATTACAGTTCAACTGACTAAAACAGAGTGCTGAATCTTACTAACAAAGTGACTTTTCATACCATTCACTGAAAATAGTTTGAGCTGAATCAAACTTACTGAAAGATAAGCATTGCTAAAAGCAATATAGTGAAATCTTGTTTCATGTACGCATTAAAATTTCACCTTTTTGTTCACACTACCTTAGCTAAATCCTGACATTTTCATGAGATGGAAAATTTGTTTCTACTTTGGAGGGGCTCCAATTCTCACACTATTAAAACAGCATTAATATAATCTTGCAATAATTTCTAAAAGCAGGAATAGGTAAAATTTCAGTAGTTTAAGTCAGGTGTTTCACCAAAAAGGTGGAAGCATCTTATCCTGAATGGTTATTCAATAAGCTGTCAAATTACTCAAGGCAATGCTAAAAATGTCTGAAAACAGTTGTACCTTTCTATTTGTTTAACAGCTTAAATACTGAATATAGTCTGTGGTCTGTATTTATTGTGAGCCGATATGAGGAGTTTTACCTTAATTTTTTTTTTTTTTTTTTTATATAAAGAGAAAAAGATGCAAAGGAAGCAAGATTCCCACCCATATAGAGAGGGAACCTCCCCCTTCAACACCTAAAGATTGCTATTAGAGAATGAGAAAAACACAATGCATGAATAAAAGACATTAAGGGGCAGAAGTTACACCAATAATGCGCAAGAATATGTAGACCTATGCAGAAGAACCAAGACATAAACATGATTCAAATAAAATTTCTTTAGCACAGCTCCTGAGAAATGATGATGTTTCAGAGCGCAATACGCATTGATTATCCACAGTCCCTATGGCATTTTATCCTAGAATCACAGAATAGTTTGGGTTGGAAGGGACTTTCAAAGCTCATCTAGTCCAACCTGCCGATGATGGGCAGGGACATCTGCAACTAGATCACACATCTGGAAAGAACTAAATTTACTTCACAGACTAAATTACATCGGCACTTGTTAAGTCTGGAACTCTGCTTTAAAAGTACTGCACCAAAACTACACAAGAAAATAAGTATAAAACAAGCATAAAACCTCCACAGATCAAACTAAGAGAAAATCTGTCTAAATCAGATTGGTACCTGTCAACTATTTATCCCAGCAAACTACTGGCTAAACTGAAGTTCTGGTTTCTGAAGAATCTGACAGGTATTTCACTGCGTATTTTTACCTAAAAAAAAGAGTAACATTCCCTTAGAATATTAACACCTTAGAGTATAATTCTGTGTATTCTGTCACAAATTTAACATCAGTGAAAAATTCCAGTACACCTGAAGATCATCCTAAAGAGACAGAAGCAAACCAGCCTGTACTTTCACAAACATATGGGAATAGCATCATGCTGATTAACTCGCTATCATAATACCTATCTTGGCGATCAATATTCAAAACTTATCAAATCTTGTTTTTAGGATTAGAGTGGCTTTATTCTGCATGTTGTCATCAAAGTAAAGATTGGATCTTTACCCCAAGGTGTTCATAATCTAACAGCTGGATTTGCTTCTAATACTATTTATACAGAACAGCTCTGCCATGCATAAGATGTCCAAATTTTGCAGACAGACAGCATTGCAAACGAGCAGAGATCAAACTGGCAAACAAGGTAATAATGGAGAAAGAGAGCCAACATTAAAGAGTGGGGAAGAAACATGAACTGTGTTAAAGCATTTTTTCCTAATCATACAGTTTGCTTCACTTCATACATTGTCTTAAGTAAAAACAAGACACAGTGCATAAACAGAAAATTACCATGGAATTAACTTTACAAGAGCAGATGAGTTTAAGGTGTAAGGCAGAGAACAGAAAAAAGACATTGGCATAAAAACCAGAAAAAAAGAACAGGATTATAAAAGGGAGAAAGCCAGAAAAACTAGTATTTGAGCAAAGGCTCAGACAAGTATGGCACTGGGACTGGGACTTCCAGTTTTATTTTGCGGTCACCTTTACTTCTAGTCTATAACAGAGTGGATTGATTAAATTAGTGGAATTACTGGTGACATACATCCAATGTCAAGAACACAGGATCAGGCCATGGGTTGGGAATGAAATTTGAAGCAGACTAAAAGGACATGGCTGGAGTTCTTTGGAGTATGATTTAGATAGTTAGCTTCAAACTGGGTAAGAAGGCAAATCATTAGAATAAGTGAAGACAAAAGGTAAAGACAATGTTTCACACTGAATACATAAATTGTATTGAACACTTCTTTAGATGATGGGAATTCAAAAGTCTGTTCATGTCCCATCCATTTTATCCTTGGACTCATTATTAACTCTGGATTTACTTCAGATTTTATACCATCAACCTTCCAGTAATTTATTTACTATGCAATCAGCGAGACAAATAACATTCTTTTTGGTCTGCATTCATAATTCTACTGTCTGTTTTTCACTGTCATATTACCTTGCCAACAAGCACCAACTGTGAGCTGCATGGCTATGTGGGAAGGGTGGATAGGCCAGTCATTGGTCACAAGGTAAGGTTCATATGTTGTTCCATCCGTGTATAATGTAACGACGGGAAATTCAACATTGACAACGTAGTAATGCCATTCTTTATCGCAAATCTGAAAGACAGAATGCAAGAAAAAATATTAATTACTGCCAGGTGACTAATTTTTATATCCTGTATGTTTTTTAAATTCTCTGGTTTCCAAATTTCACTCAGAGAAGACAATAACATTATTGCGATTTAAACAGCACTAAAATTAATGAAAGTGAAAACAATGTTGATAAATACTCTTGGCATACTTGCAGAATAGAGCTGATAAATAGAGGCATCTTAAAACACACTATTTGAAAATGGATAACAAACAGAAAAATCAGGCACTTTGGTATTTGCTCTGCATTTTCACATTTGTGAATACACAATATTAGTTTCTTAATGTCTGCATCCAATTTTGAAATATAAAACTACATAAGAAATGCATGCTTGGGATGTATCAACATAATTACTGTTAGCTTCAGAAGATAATAGACAGCACTCAGTCACTAGATTGGTGAGTTATTGTCAAAGATTTGATTCAATTTTTGTTATTAACTTATTGCATTAGTACTTGGGAAATCCTATGCAATGCATCAGGACTTCCACAGTACTAGAAGGACCTCTGTTGTGCTTCGTATACAAACGGATGGACAAGTAGCGTATGCATCCACCTGATTTGTGCAGGAAACGCAAAGGTTCTCCATCCTTCTTCTGGCCTTAAGCTTTTTCCCAGATAGTTAGCAAAGTAAGGATCTATGTGGTTTCAGTGACATACATCAGCTTTGAAAACCAACAGCAAAAGTTACAACATAATTTCGAGACTGCAATATTAATATCAAATCTCAGTCAATTTCTGAGCTGGGCAACCAAGTGGATCATTGCAAGATGGTCAGATTAGGTTTTAGTTCGAAAATGTACAGCCAGATGAATCAGTGCCTCTGACGACAGAAGTCTAGTACGTAGGTATCAAAGCCTGCCCAATCCTTTCTTCCTTGGTTGTATTTTTCAGATTTAAAAGTCCTAAGAAATAAACGACGGCAAACTGGTAGGATGGGCTGTTTTCAAAAGTAAAGCAATAGTTACAATCATGCCCCTTTCAGGTCTGTAGAGCTACTTGTTTTGATGTATTAAGAAATGGAAGTGCTTGCATGCAGATATCCTTGCTGTTTCACAGGGGCAAGCAGAAAAGGGATGTTTAAACATAACACTTTGTCCTTGGCTGGGTTAAGTGCTATCTGCTGCAATATCTGCCCCTTGAAAGCAAAAGCTAATGTTTTGTTCCAAAAGACATTTCAACAGGCACTTAATCACTTCTATTTCAACGGATGCATTTATTACTGCAGACATCATAGCTCCATAGCAAGACATAAATGCAGTAAGAGGCTGCTAGAGCCTTCCTTTTGTAAACAGTAGACGGCACAAATGTTTTCTGAAGGTTAAATGAACTGAAACCGAAACTGAAAGTAAATAAATTGAAAGACTGAAAACTTTATTGAACAAACAGCAATCACAAATAGCATTATGCAGTCCTCCCTTTCAAGGAAAAACCGTTTGCCAGGATTTCTGACTGATCATTAGAATGTGATGCATCAGACATTAAGTACACTAAATAAAATGAATGATGTGCCCGAGTTGGAGAGACCTTGCATTACAAAAACTACAGGCGTTAACACTTGACACCTTTCAGAGAGCCCTTCCAGAGTATTTCTCTGTTGCAAACCTAAACTGCATCACCTGGGATGTCTCAAGTGCTATTGAGGAACACTTTAATACAGCAAACCCAAACAGCTGGGACATAATACACACAAAGCACTTGATAATGTGTAGTTGGTCTGATTACTCTATTGACTTAACCAATAGGGCAGTTGTATTTTTCAAAGAAAACGCTTTCTGAAAACACAACATTACATAAATTCCACAATAAGGACTCTAGCAGTGGGGCTCCAGTGCCGCCAAGAAAAATGCAGATGCCCAACTGCACATGTCCATGCTAGGAAAGGTACTTACTAACCTTTATTTTTTCTGATGCGTCCTGGAATGTAAGACGATAGTGTAGGCAGCTTGGTAAAGTCCTCACACCATCACTTATGTGCTTTTCCTTAGATCGCAACACACAAACACCAAGTTTTATTTTAAAGGGAATTCTGGCACAATTCATGAGATTGTGCTTCCTGAGTTTTCAAAAGCACCCAAGTTGGTCAGGCACTTCATTGTCATACAATTTCAATCCAGACACGGGTATATGCCACCAAAAGAACTTTCAAATATCTGTACTGGGTCCCAGTGTAAAAAAACATTCCACAAGGAAGCAATGTAATTATTTACAAACCTGGAATACATCCCAGTCATTCAGCAGCAGGCAGTATTTCATGCCTGGCCATTTCACAGGCAACAAAATAATGAAATAAATAAATGTGGAGGGTAATTTGTTATGCTGTCATTTCAGACACCTTCTTCACCTTGTTAGCACAGGGAGCCACATTTTTTCCCTGCATGAGCTCCACAGTGGCAATGGAATATAACATGATTGCAGTGAAGCCATGAAAATAACATTATGAAATATACTAGTTTGGCAAATAAATACATTTAATAATCTCAAGTAAGGACTTTATTTCTTAAAATCTAATTTATAGAGCTATCCTAATGAGACAAAATTACAGCTGAGTAAGCCTGGCTTTCAAAGACTGCTGCATGGCTAGGTTGGTCTAATCACTCTATCGTGTCAGACTGCCTCTAAAATGTACTAATCAAATCACACTGAATTAACCAGCTTGAAGTCTTAGCGCTGATTACAAGGCACTGATCTGGAATGTGCTTTTATGAAACAGATGAAAGCAGACTCAAATGTATGTCTTAGGAAGTAAGTTTCCCAAGACATTAAATCTAATGAGGAACATCAGAGATTTTTCAGTTGAATACTGAATGAACCAAAAGGAATGAACAAAACCCATAGAACTTTGGTCTGAAACGCACATGATGCTGTTTGCAAAGTGTCTCTTTTTCCAGCTTTGTACATCAGAGCTAGGCATGCACATGTGAGAACATGTACTTTACAGCTTACAGCTTTTTTAGCCTCACTTAGGTCAGTTGGGGCATACTCATGCAAAATGTATCATTCGCCTGTTTGGTTAGATAAACAAAGAGAGCTTGCACTTTGAGCTGTTCAGTTGAGCAGCCATGCATGCTCACAAGCCTCTGGCAAGCTTCCTGAAAGCCCCTTAAGTAACGTTCAGCAGACCACTGACTTTGACCACACACACAGCCCTGCACATCCTGTCAGTACGACTCAGAGCACAACTTGAATCTATCCCTTTAGAGCTGAGACAGCAGATGCTCCTTCCATCTTTCTGGTTTGTGTGGCTTTGCTGACAAAGTGGTCTCAGAATACACTCAAACATCCATGAAAAAAGCAGTAAATGGAAGAAGAAAAGGACAGGAAGAAAAGCTTTCTACTTACTAGAAAGAGCACTACTTAGTGCAGGTATAAGACACAAACTCTTTCTTTCTGCCTAAGTAGTCTGAACCATTATTGTCTACAGGTTGTTTGAAGAAAGCACCTTAATCCAGCTCTAAACCAGGCCATGCCACTCTATTCACTTATTTATGCTTGTTGTAGCATCTTAGCATGCTCTGAACTGCCCCCCCCCGCATTCTTTAGACTACATCTAAAATGCTGTACTTCGTTTTGGACACCTGAATACAAGAAGTACAGGGACAACAAAATGGCCAGCTCTTGCCATGTGAGGAGAGGCTGAGAAATTAGCCTGGAGTGGAGCACCATTAGGGGGATGGGAATAGCAGCCTTCCAGTGTCTAGGGAGAAGTCACCAGGAAGACAGAGAGAGGCTTTTCAAAGTGATGCATGCTGTGACAGAGACACAATGGACATAAATTGAAACAAGACAGGTTCCACTCTTGCTTACCTAGTACTTCTGTTAACTGACACCAGAATAAGAACTGCTTTGCAAAACAGATTTTTAAAATTCCCTTTTAGAAATAAACCGCCCAAATCCTAAAATCTCTGTGAAACAATCCCAAATCATTGTTTTTCATCAGTTATGGTTATTTCACTGTAAGCATACTCCAGGCATAAAAAAGAAAATAATGTAAAGAGCAAAGCCAAACAACAAGAGGTAGGTACAAACTGCGACTATTTCATCTGAGAATGCTAAGGTGCTTTCAGCCTCTTGTCTATCTTTTCTTTCATTCTGATTTGGCTAGTATCAGCAGAGAGGGAAACATTTTGAGATAAACTAAGTTTTCTTTTCTGAATATCTGCAAGGAACAACAGAGGAATTTATCCTCCGGGTAACTCCCTTACTCTTTCATCCCTCTGATACACAGCCCTCCCATCTGTCTTGCAAGTATTATTTTTTTCAGTATAACTCTTTCTGCTGGCTATGAGTTTCAGCATTTTTATCATTTTACCTACAGCATTTAAAACTATTAAATATTAATTAATATAAAATCAATAATTCTATATGATTGGTATACACCGCTGTTATAGGACCAATTCTGGTCCTATCCTCCCCTTTCTGTTTTGTTTTTGCTAAATGATGTTGCTAGCAACCTGGTCAGCTGCCTGGCTCGCATTCTTTCACTAACTCTCATCCCAATCAGACTTAATTCCAGTCTCATTACCTGATTCAGATTTAAATAGTTGCACATGAGAATAAATTATGCAGTATCTTCTTCAAAACAAATTCCTAGACAAGGTCAGAATGTCAGTTCTGTTGTGGTGTTGCTCATGCCTCTCCTCAGGGAGGGTACTGGGGCTGAAAAAGAGACTGACTGCTGACAGCAAATTATGTGCTAAAAACTTGGAAATATTAAGCAAAGCATAACTGCAATGACAAATAGCTGGGCTGGTGAGGCCAACCTGGACAGTACTCTCTATTTTTGTCACTGTCTAGAGGTGCCTTAAACCTGCAAGCACAGAGCTTCATTTTCTGAAAGTGAATAAAAGATACAGAAACTGTAAAGGTGTTCAAATCTCCCCCTCTGCTTTTTATGGAAAAATTCTAAATATGATTACCATTAAACATTAACACTGGATGAATTATTTCACTTCTGCAATTGAATT